TAATGGATACTTCAGTAATATGGAAAGTTCTGAAAAAATTAACCTGCTTTTGCTGTTAAAAATGCCAGGAAAAAATAGATCACCTTCCAAAAGTTATGATTGCAGTCGGTGACAACATTTAGTAGTGAAAGGAATGAGCTGAGTGTAAGCAATCTCCAAAGTTGGAAGGAAACAAGTCATGGGAGGGTCACAGTGCTATTTCTGAGAAATGTACCTGTGAGTAAGAAGCAAAAAGCTCCCCACTTCCTGGCAGGCTTTGGATTTATATGACAGCCTTGGAACCAGAAGATGCTTATACTTTTCTTTAAAGCCCACAGGGAATCAAGTGTTTTCATAGAAAGAGCAGACACCAGAGAGCACAGGTGAAGTCAAGGGAAGGTGTAAGGGACGCTGCTGGGTAGTCTCCGTCCTCTAGGGGAGAGTACAAAAAACTAACTAAGCTACAGTCGGCCTCTGTGCGCACAGGGGCTGCACGGACTCAAGCAACTGAGCCTGGAGAACACCAGGAAAAGCATCCATGCTGAACATGTCCCGAGCTTCCTTCCGTCACTGCTCCCCATCCCACAGCATAGAGCAGCTATTTACATGGCAGCTGGGTATTCTAAGTAATCCAGAGAGGATTTCAAATATACCAGTGATGGCAGAGGTGATAGGCAGCTAGGCCATTTATGTGAGGGGCTTGAGCACCTCTAGGTTTTGGTGTCCGCAGAGGATGCCGGGACCAAGTCCCCGCTAGTGCTGAGGGGTGACTGTGTTTGTCATTCCTACAAGAGCAGGCCAGATGTAATCTTTCTGAGGAACATTTGCCCACATATCCTGACAACCATTGGGTGGGAGGAAGAGAGTTGCACTGCTTTACATATAAGTGAAAAACCACAAGGTGATGGACAATACTAGGCGTGCCCCGCCCGGTCCCAACACAAAGGCAGAGGAAAGCGTGTGCTAGCAACCTGCCAAGGGACTAGGTTTGGGGAACACACACACACACACACACACACACACACACACTCTACTAGCAATACTTTTCCTGGTCTCCAAACAGTAGTTAAAAAATTAAATTTCCACGAATTAACCTATGTTAGAATAGCTTGAGAAGTGACTCACTGCTAGAAGTTGGTAAGAGGTCAACATATAAACACCTTGGAATGAAAGGAATAAACAACATTGCAATGTGTTTCCTCGAGTGGGTTTGCCATTAGAATGGAATGCTAATGAAGTCTTCCCTAGGTAGTGTTCTTTTCCTCTTTCTTCTCTCCCCCCACCCCTTCTTTCTTGCTGTATTTGTCTCCTCTGTGTTCTCAGACATGAAAGGAAGTCTCTCTAGACCTGGTTGGGCTCCTTCATGATGAGCTGGGCAAATAATGGAGAGCCACTGAAGCACTCAAGCCCACAGATGTGTGTCAACAGCTTGTCACAAGCCAAGCATCACTTAATAGGAGTCAGGTGTTACAGGTGGCTCGTCTGTAAAGCACATCCAGGACCTCTGGCCAAGGTGTAATTCAGGCTCTGTCCTGGCTGCTGGTTGACAAAAGCATCACAGGAAAGGATGAAACTGAAGAATGGAGGAATTAAGTGCAATCAGCCTCTAAGCATATTCCAAATAATGTCTGCTTAAATTAGGAACCCACTGCCCGCTGAGCAGGCTGGACAGGTGTGCAGGACATCTGGCTCCAGCAAGAACCTCTAACACCTGGCATTTCCCACACCTGCTGAGATGGCATTGTCACTGCTGCAGACCAGGCTTTGGAAAATGCTCTGTTAATATTCTTGCTTAGAGATGCCACTACTTTGCTCCTGTGCGTTTAGCTGTTCAGAGTCTGCAGCCTCTTTTTTACCTTTTGTGGCCTGTACTGCTACTTAAACTTCTTTGTTGGCCTAGACAATCTCTAAAATGTATACAACTCTGACACTTTTAAAAATTATTTATTTGGTAGAGGGCCCTGCTATGCAGCTTGGACTCAGTGATCCTTCTGTTTCACCCTCTCCGGTGCTGGGATTACAGGCATGCACCATCACTCCGGGTTTTCGTGGCCAGGACAGTGTGCAGTACTGGGAATTGAACCCGGGTGCTGTGCTTGCCAGGCAGGTGCTTAGACCACCGAGCTATGTCCCCAGCCCACAACTCTGCAACTTTTAAAAAACAATCACAAGCATTCCCCAAAGAGTGAAACAGGTTATAAGGAACCCGGGCTGTGATCGCCCCAGTACCAATATGAAGTAGGACCTCTGCCATAGATTTAGTTGTTAAAATTCAGCCAGGGCATCCGACTCCTGGCAGTGGCCCAGGCTCTGGGACACAGCAGAGTGTGGCCATGCGGGGCAGAGCAGAACCACCACAGGAGGCCACTATCCAACACCCAGTGTGGCAAAATTCTAGTTTCTTTTTCCTAACCTGTGTATGATTGCTACATTACTTTCAACTCTGCCTAGACCTTGAGCATCTTATGCTACTTCTTCAGCTGCATTTCCATAACAATGTGGGATTATTTAAAAACTGTATTAAGATTTCAGTTTTCTAGGGCTGGGGAGCTAGGTTAGTACAATAAGCACCTGCTGGCAAGTGCAAGGTCCTGAGTTAAAAAAAATTTTTTTTTTTAGTTTTCTCCGTTTTCCAGACAACTTACTCATTGGTACCTAGGAAGACAAACATAGGCATCTCATTGATCAGAAGAAAATTCGATTACTGGTCTGCTTCTACTATAGATTTACAGAAAAATCTCTTGATTTGGGCCAAGTCCATTGTATGGGGCTCAGTACCACCCTGGGGTGAACAGCGGCCGCAGCCGAGATGGCACCAAATGCCACACTGTAGACTAGGCCACTTCAGCCCACCCCGACATGACTGGTACAAGTTTTGTCTGAAGCCTTTTTGCACAAAAGCTAATAGATGCTGTTTAATAAAAATTAAAGATTCCTGAGAATCAACTAACATATAAATGAGTGGTCGTGGGCTGGTCAGATGGCTCAGTGGATGGGGTTCGATCCCCAGCGTGCAGTGCCAGTCCTACCTCTGGGGCATGCTGAGACAGCAACTGGGACTGGGCATGGTGGTGCACACCTGTAATCCCAGCACTCAGAGGCTGAAAACAGGAGGATCACTATGAGTCTGACCCGTGTAGTGAGACCCTGTGCTAAATACATTAAAAAAAGTGGTCATTAGAAAACCCACTATTATTTTTCAGTTATGTCCTAAAGTTAATATGGAACTGAAAAGCAAAATTACTTGAGGAAAATAAACTTCTGAAAAGAAGCCTTAGAAAAAAGCTAATTCTAAAGACAAGCTAGAGTGAGACTTACTTTTATTCTAACTTTAGGTAACTCTTGGGAACCTAACCGGATTCAAGGTGAACGGTATGATTGTCACTCAAGAGAATCATAGAATGTACGCAGAATACAGAATAAAACTTTTAATAGTATCAAAACCAGAACTTTTTGGAACCAATTTAGTACTTGCTGGAATAAAGTTGCAAAATGTTACTTAGTAACTGACTTTGCTTCTAATCAAGCCAGAGTTGCAGACTCTGCGTATCACTTGAGTACACACAAGTCCATCCCACGACAACATGCAAACATGGGAGGACGACTGGAAAACCGAGGCTACCCTCCGGCCTGATGAAACAATGAACTGGAAAGAAAACACCTGGCCCAAGGGCTGGAACATCTATTTTGAAAAGCGGGTTCTGAATGGTGCACCTTCTAAGAACTCAGAAAACCTCTTAAATGGGGAAACCTGTTTTCTCAGTAAGAAGAAAAGGACGAAGCCATGGTTCTGCGGCTATGGAACACACTTTTCTTTTCACTTGGCATCAAATGAAAATGTTGGACAGAATTTCAGTCTTTTAAGGTAAAGTGGGCTCTTCACATTCCAGTGGTTAAGAAGGAATCTCTTCAACCTCTTATGTGTCTGAGTGTCACACCAGAACTTTAACGACAGTCACAGGCTGTGGATTCAATTTTCCTGAGAACTGAATTAGACCTACAAAATTAACAGGCTATGAAAATGACCTGAGTTCATAGGAATCCCTACATTCTGAGAGATTTCTTCAGCTTTTGCTAAGATCTTGTCAAAAGCCTTTGACAGGCACGGGTTTCGTCACAAGTTACGCACTTAGCATGGGACTTTGGAATTCTTAAAACATTAAAACAAAGTGCTTTCTGGGGCGCATATTCAGTGGAAGGCCAAAATAGTCAGCAGCATAGATGGGAGTAAAATCTACAATCTTTACCATTGTAGATGGAACGCGGGATGACTGGCCAATTCTGCTCCTTGTCTGATAGTTACCAGCACAGGGCTAAGGTAAGTGAAGACAGCTCCCTGAGTGGATGGCGGTGATATCCATGGCCACCACCCGTCCCTCGGGAACTCCTCTGGGGGTGCAAATCCCGAGAACGAATACGGACGATCAGGTTTGCTTTGCGTTCATTCTCCAACTTACATTACTATTTGCAAACTACTAAGAGGTCACACGCTGACCGCGATCCACTGACTAGCGCATAGATGAATGAAGCGTGGCTTCAGTTTCTGCTTTTCTGATTCGCTACGCCATTGAACGCAAGGCGCTTTGTTTTGGTGCCTCGGCGCGCCAACGTGGAACGTGAGGGGGACCCACCCTCACCTCAAGGGGCTGCTGCTCGGCCTACTGAACGCACGCCTGTGTCTGCAAGGGCTTTGAGCTCCTCAGATGAAAAGCACTGTGGAGACGGCACAGCTGAGAAAGCTCCGCGGGGCTCGCGGCCACGTCATGTGTTTCCGTGTCGCCTGCACACTCTAAAGTTTGTTAGTGGCACTCTGTCCTGATGTGGTGGCTATTTGGCACACAAATGTTTACACGTTTGAAATAGTTGTCATAATCCTCATTCCAAAGATATTTATTTTCTAATCAAGTTAATGAAATGTGCTCCAAATAAAGGACTCTTTGTCAAGTTTAGAAAAGCTTCAGCTTTCTCAGAGGTACATGTGACATAATAAAATGTTCTTTAAAAAAATAATCGAACTGGTGTTGTGTGAAACTACAAGTTTTAATGAAAAAAATATTATGCCACAGTGTCTAGATATTCATCTGAAGAGTACAAAGATGGAGTTCTGAGAAAAAGGGTCTCAACACTATAGAAAATAAATGTGGTTCTTAAATTATTTTTAAAGGAAACATTAAGAAAATGTAATGTTTCATATATTGAAAGAAAGCAATTAGTCAGAGGTAATAAATTATAAATACAGTAGTTCAAACGGGTTTTTTTAGCATTGGTTTTGCTAAACACGTTAAAACATTTTCTATTTGTTGTATTCTTTCACAGAAATTGTGGAAGCTTTCACAGAAATCTAAAACAATGATACTGCCTTGTAAACTGTACACAGAATAGACTTGACTTTGACCATTTTAGATTTATAACATGTTTTGGTTAATATGTTAGCTTTGACTCAGTAATGTGTCTTTCTGCGTTGGAGCCACGATACTGTGATTTGTGACTTTTCTGTTTTCTGCACCTAATCTTTCTTCACTTGCATGTCTTGCTTGATTCTTGGCAGGGGTCCTGTCAGGCTTATAATCAAAATGATGGAAGCTGTACGTAACTTCTTTAGGATGGCGAAAATAAAGTGCTTTTAAATTCAAATATTTCTTGCCCTAAACAAAAATGGGAATATACAGTACTTAGTCCTGAAATATCCGCATCTTGACATATACATTTGAATGGAAAAAAATAGTTTTGGGCCATTACTGTCTTCCAAGAATTCAGACTGGGTCTAGACTGGGCTTTGCATCATCCTGCTCGTGTTTGTGCATGAAGGTTAACAGGAACAGGGCGACGTCCAAGGATGACCAATAGGCAGTATGCGACGTGACGGCCGACCAATAGCGGCTCTCCACAAGGCCTTCTCGGAGCTCAAAATCAATCCTATGGTCCAATTCCACTGAAAATAGAAGAATGTATATGAATAGATTACAGTAAAATGTATTTAATAGTCTTACAGTTGACATAAAAATTTTGCTAATGGAAATGATTTTCTAATTCCTTTCTTCTGTTTGATGGTTCTAGAGAATGAACCCAGAGCTTTATGCAAGCTAGACAAGAGCTCTCCACGGAGCTGCTCTGAAGCCTGCCATTTGTCCAGTGTCAAAGGATGTCAAAGTTAAACACTGGTGAAAATTCCACTAGGAAGAATATATGCAGTGTGTTATTTGTTGAAACTGTACTTCCGATTTGATTTGAAACTGTCTCATTGCTATCTGTTTATCAATAAAATTTTGAAAAAAAAATTGGCGAAAATTAAGAAAGCTCAGGGAAAAGTTGGGTTGCTTTATACTGGGAATCTGACAGTGACACAAAGTAAATCTGAGGACCCTAGGAAGTGATGTCATGTAAACGCTTATTTTATTTTTTGGTACTGGGAACTAAACTTAGGGCCTCACACTTGCCAGGCAGGTGCTGTGTGCTGGGCTACATCCCTGGCCCCAAAGCTGTGTATTTTAAACAGGTACTTTGTGATAACACTACTTGATTATTTGAAAATGCTTATACAAAAATTGTTTTTTTATTCAATTATGCTTTTTTATGACATGAAATGTTTATGGATTTATCTATACATTTTTTGAAAAGGTTTATACTTAAGAGGTATAAATACCAATTAGGCTAAAACACACTTTCAAATATGACACAAGCTTTTTGAAAAATCTTTAGAACTATTAATTATTTTCCTTTAATTATGAAGAGATAGACCAGGAGGCCAGAAGTAGCTGAAATCCACGTGGACCGAGAGGCAGGAATACCGCCATCTGTCTTTTGCACCCCCTGGGCATCTGTGTTAGATTCGCAGGCACATTCTGCTGCACAAGGTGGCTCAAGAGGAAGCCAGAGAGAAGTCTCGAGCTCGATAGGATGAGCTGAGGTGAAGCTGCTTGTGAAGAGCGAAGAGGACCAAAACCAGAAAAGGTGGAAAATGTGTTTGAGGACTGTTAGTTACTTTTCTTTCGTTGCTGGGACAAAATATCTGACACCCAGAATGAAGGAAGGAGAGGTTTATTTTGCTCACGATTTGTGGAGGTTTCAGTCCACACTTGGCTGGTGCCAAGGCAGAGTGGCACATGGCAGAGGGCAGCAGAAAACAGCAAAGAGCAAGAGCAAAAGAGAGGAGCAGCGGCAGAGGCAGAGAGCAGGCCTCTGTCCCTTCTATGCACTGCACTCAGGCCAGCCACCCCAGGGCGGCGTCGCACTCACACCCATAATCCCAGTATTGGATCATGAATTAATCACAAACTCCAGGAGCCACGCCAGTGACTACATGAGGCTTTGGGGGGACAGCTAGACACAAACCATAACCACTGACAGACCACCAAGTTACAGTTTTTAAGAACTTATGTTCAAAGGTCACTGCATGTCTTCCTAGTGCCAAGTTGTACAGGGAGATATTTTCTTATCTGCAGCACACGGGATCAACTACAAGGCTTGTGCATGCTGGGTACGTGCGCTAGCACTCGGCTACATCCCCATCCCTTTTTATTCTGAGACAGGGCTTACAGTAAGCTGCGCAGGCTGGCCTTGAAGCAGCTACCTTCCTGCACAGCCTGGGAGCAGCTGGGATTACAGATGCGTGCCCCACTCCCGCTTTTGTACTTCAGGCAGTGCCACTGGTGGACTGGCTAACCTGCACCTGGTGAGCCAGTGGTAGGCCCTCGTCTGTCTTACAAGCTTTAGCCCAAGAGCCTGCCTGTGTGTGCTGGACGTGTGGGAGGACAAATGGAAGCAGCTGGGCGGGGTCTCGCCTTGTCTCCCTTTCAGGAGGCTCACAGAAGGCCCCAGCCCGCTCTGCATGGCAGCACCCTTCTGTGTGGGCTGCTCTCGGTCAAGGCGGCCTTCCCCAGCTACCTCAGCCCCGGCTTCTCACTAGGCCCACACCTACAAGGACGGCAGCACACAGGCTGGTACCTTCACCTAGGTTTTCCCACTGTCTGAGGTCAGAGGGAAAGGAAAAGTGAAACCATTAGTCTTCATTTTTCTCTCCTTTGAATGTCTATGTGGTAAAACACACTGCAAAGGAAGAACCAGTTCCTCGATAGATGGAAAGAAAAACACACACTGGACCTGATGCTCGGAACTGAGGCTTATGGCTGCAAAGCATCACTGGCTCTCGCTTACATTTCTTTCTGGGAGGTCTCCCGTTTTGGCACATTACTTTCCACAAGTCCCAAATGAGACACCTACCATCTCCACACCCTGAAGGCAGTGTCATCAGTACTCTACTTTCATTACGGAGCTCTCACGTGCATAAGGTTTGTCAGCATGGAATGGAATAGCATAGAACAGCAACGCAGATGGACAGAAAGTAGCTTTGTATTATAACGTATACTGACTGTAAGTTTCTACTGCTTAATAGAAGCCTCTCAACTTTACTGGACATTTAAAAAAATTCTGAGTTATAAAGGGTGTCTTATTTATAAATAATAATTAGTCACAACTGCATATCTGGTTCTATACAGCTTTATAATCTGTAATAATATTTCTCAAAAGACAATTATCCTGGAAGGTATTCAAGTTCCTAACAGCTGGCAAGAGAGGCTGGGCTAGCTTAGTTTAGAATAGGAAAACTCCAGGAAGCGGCCAATTTGTTGGGCTCTCCCGGCTGGTGGAGCCGACTTTTCCAATTGTACTCACAACTACCTTTCCACCGAGCTGCAGTTCTCAGGAGAACGGCCTCGGAGGGCCCCACACACCCGTGCTGCACTCTGTGGTCCTGTCTGTGTGCTTAGCCTCCCTGCGATGCCTTCTCATTCCTGCACGTGCAGCCCTATTTGCTTCCATAAAGCCTTTTAGGGCCTCTCCAGGGGAAGCCATTTCTCCTTCTCTGAAATGGACAGAGTCCTTTCATCTAGACCTCTGCTTGTGGCTTATCACAGGTACCATGTACCATTATGTGATGATCTGCCCTCCGTACTAGAACATACGTTCTCTAGAAATTCACTTTGATTACTGGCATTTATTTATTCATAAAAGTTTTATTTATGTATTTGGTACATGGTCTTGCTATGCACTCGGACTTGTGGTGATCCTCCTGTCTCAGCCTCCCAGAGCTGGGATTACAGGCATGCGCCACCATGCCCGGTTTCAGTGGTGGGCACAGTGACACAGCGCAGGGCCAGCACATTCAGTACCGGGGATTGAACCTGGGTCCTTGCGCTTGTCAGGCAGGTACTTAGACTTCTGAGCTATCTCCCTAGCCCTTCACACTGGCATTTAGTATTTGTACTGGCAGTATGAAGCATGTGCCACATTGGCATCTCTCCTAGTAATACCATGGTGCGCTGTCTCATGCTAAATATTTAATGGTCACCGAATGAGTGCAAGTCATATTGATTTTTATCACCTGAGTCTCTTCGGTCCACATGTGACTAGTGGTGCGAATGCTTGGGCGACTGTGATGGCTTTGAGGAATAAGAGCTGACTGACTACTGGGCAAATATGACTGGACTGATTTTCTTTCTTTCAAATAAAAATGCAAAAAGCATTAATAAAATTACTTCTTTGTGGAAGTGACTGCCTACTACAGGGCAAGAATCAGAGAAAGATGATTACCTACTATCATTTCTTGAGGGAAATACACTGTTATTCAACACAAACTGTTGCTAT